AATCATCACAATTAAAAGAACCAAAGACTTAAACTACTTCAGTCTGTGTGCATTGAATTTATTTAATACACGAGTTTCACAATTTTAGTTGAATTACTGAAATAAATGTACTTTTCCACAACATTCTAATTTATTGAGATGCACCTGTAGTTATCGTCCTTTGTGTGAACAGGCCTTTATTGATATTGATTTTAGAGCACAGATTGTGCTCAGATTTTGTATGTGGAATTCTGGGTGTGAGACCTATTTCATAGCTATAAATATGTATTTTTCTGATAAAGGTTTAATATTGCAGTTAGTTCTGTATAGCTGCTGTAGGCTAGCCGTCAACACCTTGATGGCAAAGGCTCATTAAGCCACAAATACCAGCTGATGTGTCATGTGTGCGATATTGGGAGTAGTTCAAAACCCAAATATTCCCTCCAGTTTAACAAGTTTGTGTTGACTGCATTCCATGCCACCATGTCAGTGGAAAACAGCGATGGTCAGGTCAACTCAATCTGTTTCTTTTTCTGAGTGAAGTTTTCCAGGCCCCATCTATAGCAAATTAGCTTTTCACCTTGTCATGGTTGATACACTGACAAAACAAATAAATAGCCAAGTATCAAAGTCTCTGTGATGAATATTTTCAGACTTTTCAGTTTATCTTCTCAAGCTTGGTGGTCTACGGTTATGAGAAGCTGCCCTTTTGGCTGTTCCAGACCTCCAGGGACAACAAATAGAGTAATGTTGCAGTTTGGTTGCTTTAATATCGACTCGACATTGCCTAAATTAAAACCTTGCTAAACATGTTCAAGGTCTTTGCAGTAAAATCACTTTAGCCCATTCCCAATTCATCTTGCAGCACTGTTACACTTCTGGAGTGACACAACCCTCGGTTTGAATACTTTATTACACCTCTAGGTTGAGTAACACCACTGAGATCCATCAGCATGTATCTGAAAGCTGCAAAATGCTGCCTTCGCGAACATAGCTGTCTATGGCCTCCCTTAATCTTGTGTCTCAGTGGCGAGCTAAACTAGGATGTCAAAGGACGCAGACGGAGGAATAAAGAATAATAACTATAAAATATATACTAGAATACATGATCTATTAAAATTACACAGCTACTTTTGAACGGACATTGATGGATTTTTGCCTAAGACTAAAACTTTTTTTTTTTTTTATGTTTTGGTTATTAAAATAAAGCTGAAATAAATTAATATAATTATTAGATGAAAAATTAAAAACTGTTGTCTTGTCAACTAGCTGAAATAAGTTTAGGATGAAGTACTAAAATGACAAAAAATGACATAAAATGAATTAAAACTATATATGCATAAGCAATTTCTAAAGCACATACAGCAAGCGAGGCTGACCTAAGTGCTGATCAACAACATATAAATAAATAATTAATTTAATTAATAAAGACTCAAATAAACACACAAAACAAGATGTTATATGTTAAAACCCAAAGAAAATAAGTTTTAAGAAAAGATTTAATGCATTAACTAACATTTACTAACAATAAGCAATATCTTTGTTACAGTATTTATTAATATTTGTTAACATTAGTTAATAAAAATGTTCATTGTTTGTCCATGATAGCTTAAGTCAATTAAATAATAGACACAACTTTTGATTTTAATAAATGTTACATTACATTAACTGAGATAAATTACATTAAAGGGATAGTTCACCCAAAAATAAAAATTTGATGTTTATCTGCTTACCCCCAGGGCATCCAAGATGTAGGTGACTTTGTTTCTTCAGTAGAACACAAACAAAGATTTTAAACTCAAACCGTTGCAGTCTGTCAGTCATATAATGGAAGTGAATGGGAATCCCGGCTTTGAGAGTGAAAAAAAAACATACAAAGACAAAACCAAATTTAACCCTGCGGCTCTTGACGATACATTGAGGTCTTAAGACACGAAAAGATCGGTCTGTTCAAGAAACTGAACAGTATTTATAAAATGTTTTACCTCTGATCCACCGCAATGTCCAACTGTCCTGAGCGCGTTCACAACATCCGGCGCGTGACGTCAAATAAATACGGTCGGGCAAAAAATTCCACGTTGTCTGATGATATATCAAAATCGTCTTCCATTGTGATGACCTGTACTTCTAAATATCTTTAGATCATCGCAGTGCCAGTGAACACGTCCGCAATCTCTCTGCACTATGTAAATAATGTGTGACGTATACGCGCGACAGATTGCTTCCGCACATGCGTCTACTATCATAGATAAGTATAGATGCCCTATTCGACCGCTCCAGATACGTTGATGCGTCCGCCATTTTGGAACGTATCGCGGCCCATAGAAACAGTCACTAATGAGGCATCTACTTATATATATCTATGTCTACTATACCAGAGCACGCACACGCGTCATGCACCGGATGTTTTGAATGCGCTCAGGACAGTTGGACATTGCGATGGATCAGAAGTAAAAAATTATATAAATACTGTTCAGTTTCTTGCACAGACCGATCGTTTCGTGTCTTCAGACCTCAATGTATCGTCACGAGCCACAGGGTTTAATTTGGTTTTGTTTGTGTATGTCTTTTTTTACACTCAAAGCCGTGGAGCCCGTTCACTTCCATTATATGACTGACAGACTGCAACGGTTTGAGTTAAAAATCTTCGTTTGTGTTCTACTGAAGAAACAAAGTCACCTACATCTTGGATGCCCTGGGGGTAAGCAGATAAACATCACATTTAAATTTTTGGGTGAACTATCCCTTTAACTGAGATTAATTAATGCTTTAAAACAATTTTTTAATTGTTAGTTCATGTTCACAAATAAAGTGCACTAATGTTAACAAATAGAACCTTATTATAAAGTGTTACTACAAAAGTTATAATAGATTCATAAATACTATTAGTATATAAATAAATTATACTCAAATAACACTGCTGATATTGGTGTGTTTACACTTTCTACCAGCAGGGTTAAAGCTAGTTTGATTATGCTAATCAGTTACACTTTGACAACCATCACAGGTCACAGGTCAATTGAACAGAACACACTAGGGCTGATGAGTAAAGTATGAGGGTGAAAATAAAGATATATACCTGACCCAGAAATGTAGAAGTGAAAAATATTAGATGACCATGATGGTTTGATTAGATTGAAGGCAGAAAACATCTGGAACACAACTACACACACATGTACTACAAACCAGAGAGGAAATTACATCTGTTGAACAATAATTTGTAGTGGAAAGTTTTTCCTCTTTTATTGTCTTTTTTCCTCTCCACTTTTCCTCTCTGATGGATGGTAAAATGTGCAGGTGTGGGTTTTCTTTGATATGCGAGTCCACGTGTTTCATTCAGAGGGTTCTTGGCTGCTTTTGGAAGAAACCGTCAAAGCCAGAGCCTCTAATTTTTCAGAGATCGTCCAGGTCTCTGACTGAAGGTGTTGTCTACACTCTTAAAAATAAAGGTGCTTCAAAAGGTTCTTCAAGCGATGCCATAGAAGAACCATTTTTGGTTCCACAAAGAACCATTCAGTCAAAGGTTCTTTAAAGAACAATCTCTTTCTTACCTTTTTGTAATCTGAAGAACCTTCTTTCGCCACAAAGAAGCTTTTGGGAAACAGAAAGGTTCTTCAGATGTTAAAGGTTCTTTATGGAACCATTTAGACAAAAAGGTTCTTCTATGGCATCGTGAAGCACCTTTATTTTTAAGAGTGTAGATCAGGCAGGGTTTATAATCAACACTAGTGATTAGATGAAATTGGCACAGCTGAGATTCGGACAGTGCGCATAATCACGTACAATCTCTGGAGTCCATTCATTAATTAACTGAATGGGAAATTGAGAGAGGCATCCATAATGATAAGAATAAAAAGCACAAGGCCAGATTGCACATGTCGTAATCAAGAGTCGTATTGTTGCTCTGTTTTTGAAGCCAGCCAACTGATGTAGGTGGCATTTTCATTTGAAACGTGAGATCTGCTGTGTTGGATTACTCATAATTACTCTAGTATAATCAATATTGTGCCGTTTTTTATCTTGATTGCACTTAAAGCTTAATGAATATCGTAAGGACCGAAATAAGGACATTGATCAACAATAATGAGCGAGTCTGTCAAAAGCTCCAGCTATTACAAGAAAGGTATGTGACCCCAGAGAAATGATGGTAAATTAATGAACTCATGAACTAATCAAGCATAAACTCATAAAATAAATATTATTATATTTCTCTGCAACAAGCAGACCTTAATTAAACAAATCAGCGGTTTTCATCTGTTGTGTCACGAACCAAAATGTGTCACTGTCTGATTAGCAGGGAAAAACATGCTGAATATAAGTAATACAATACAAACTATATAAGCAAGCATAGTTATAATAGACACATTAATTGTCTTTTAAACAGGAGAAAATATTTTCACAAATTATTCTAATATGACTAATATTAATTACGAAAATTGGCCCAGGTTTTTGTATTATGTTAATCGTTTTACATATGGCTGGATCTATGCAGTTCATGGTGATAATAATATGTTTTATGTTTGATTGCGAACTTTAGTTTTATATATTGTATTTTTTATGCACATATTGTTTTAATATATGATATACATTACCGTTCAGACTTTTGGGGTCAGTAAGAATTTATTAATTTATTTATGAAAGAAATTAATACTTTAATTTATGCTAAAATAATACTAAGACTCAGCAAAAATGCAGTAAATTTATTAAAAAAAATATATATATATATATATATATATATATATATATATATTTAAATTTAAATTTCAAATAAATGCTGTTCTTTTGAACTTTCTATTTATTAAAGAATCCTGAAAAAAAATTTGAAAAAGATATGAAGCAGCACAACTGTTTTCAACATAGAGTTTGTTTGTTTTTTAGCACCATATCAGCATATTGAAAAGATTTATGAAGGAAAATGTGACACTGGATGTCTGGCTGCTGAAAATTGCATAATATAACTGATATGATTGTCATTGCCATTGACCTCTCTGTTTCGCTCTCTCTTTTTGTTTTGGTTTTAGGGATCTCAGTATGAACAACATCAGTGAGATTCAGCCCAACGCTTTCCACAACCTGCACTTCCTCAGTGAACTGTAAGTACATTTGAACGGCATTTAAACCTGGACTGCCATGTATTTCAGCTGTGTTCAACTCTATGGTGTGACAAAACGGTGTACACAAAAATCCAGTTGATGAGTGGTTATTTATGTGAAGTGGTTCAGTGAAGGTTAAATTGGAGACTGACGTAATTCCAGATGTGTTATACAAGACCTAGATAGAAGTGTACCATAAAATCAGGAATAAATAAATACATTAAATCATCAGGTTGCTGATAATGACCTTAGCATGCATTGTGTATTTGAGTGGCTGACGTAGTTGATTTGTTTTTATAAAAAAAGTATTCATATTAAATGTATTACCCTATATTTTTTACCAACATGACAATTAGTTGAATGGAAATTGGATAACACTTTACAGTGAGATCCATTTGTTAACATTACAGTAGTTAACATGACCTAACAATGAATACTTCTAAATAATGTATTAATCTTAATTAAAGGTCATTTGAACATTTACTAATACATTATTAAAATCAAAAGTTGTCTCTGTTTATATTATTTATTAGACCTGAGCTAACATAAACTAACAATGAACTGTTGTATTTTAAGTAATATCAAGAAAGATTGTTAAATACTGTAACAAACACATTATTAATTGTTAATGTTATAATGCATTAACGAACACTAACTAATGGAACCTCGTTGTAAAGTGTGACCGGAGATTGTATTTGTCATGTAGGTTTGAAATTATTTTAGTTCACTAGTACATTTTATCCTGCAAAAATCACTTTCTTAATATTTATTTATTTATTTAAACAGCTAACAGGATTCATTTTAATGTACTGAGGATTAAAATATTACAATATTTATTTATGTCTTGTACCGATTATTTCTTGTTTTAAGCAAACCTAACTACATTTAGTTAAACTTATGATTTTTGTGCAGTTTTGCTTCTCGGGTAAATTTATGTTTTTATTTTTTAGTTTTTTTTTAATGAATGTTTTTTTAGAACTACAAATATCCCATGTAGATTATTAATACAAGCTACTTATAAATGCATCAATTTGAAAAAAATAAAAATACAAAAAATGACAGTATAAAAACACTCAAATAGTTTCAGATGTAGTATGAAAGCATGTTACATGGCAGGACTTGCCCATTTATATTAGGTCTTTATCACACCAATCTTGTATTTTTGGGTGAAAATGTTATTTTTTCGCCTTCCTTTGCCACGTCTCTGAGACAGACTCATGCAACACTGCACGTGTCAGACATACATGTTTTGCTCAAAGCTCAAAGACATACAGAGTTGCTCCAGTACTTCCTGCAGCTTCATCAGAGCCACATAAAAGACCAAACGTATTTTATCCCAACATCTAGCATGTACATACTCTGTCTAGACCTTTACATGTCAGCCATCAATCAAAATAAGTTGAAGACTAAAGAAATACAGCATGCCTTCTCACACTTTTCCCCCTGAAGGACCAATTAGCTCAGGTGAGACCTAGCGTAACCCCTCTGAGAGTCTCTGGAGAGTGTTAACATTCAAATGAAAAGCACCTGGCCGCTGTGGCAGCTCACACATGGTGCCGACGGCAAGAGTAGCAGCAGGTCTGCGGAGCAGCTGGGACTCTCGGCCACCTGACTGACACAAACAGGATGGACTGGGAATGGCCAGAGCTGTCAGAAAGTGTTGTGGGACGTGCAGACGGCAGGAGGGCTGCAGGAAATATAACATTTTTGTAGGAGTCAATATTTATGGTGTGGCTGTCAAAGCAAATGAGCAATTCCTCATTCCACTTCACTGAATTAGTCCTTGCTTCCCTGGGAATGGCGTGTTGTTGCTACATTTCAAACAAATGGTGATGTGGGGGAAGATGTTGAAGCTTCAACAAAATAGCCAACCTGAAGCCGTTCTGTACTGAAACTGATGTCCAAAAACCTCTGTTCAACTAACAATTACAAAATGTCTTGACGCAATACATCAAGATCCATCACATCGTAACTGTTTCTCAAATGAGTTTTGGAACTTGAATTGTTTTTCTCAAAAAAAAAAAAAACACACTTATGTATACTTATAAATACTTATATATAATAAATACATGTTTATTGACAAAATATATATATAAAAAACTTTTATTTCTGCTAATTTCAAGGCAACATTAACATTTTTTTTTACATTTTATTCTAGACAGTTTAGATGTACTACATTAACTAAAACTTAAACAGAAATAAATCAAAACTATACAGACTTACTATATTTAAAAACAACAAAAACTAAAAATGACAAAAAAAAACATCAAAATGACAAACTTGAACTAAAATGTACATAAAAATGAAAATATATTTAATGACATTAATATAAAAATAAAATCTAATTAAAAAAAATTAACATAAACTAATAGAGCTATACTATAAGATACTAAAATACAATTTCTTCCTGATTGTTTGTTAGTTTAACTTTCACACATAAATTGAATAAATACATAAGAAAATTCAAGGGATAAAAAAGAATACAAAATGAATTTATAAATATAAAAACATGGAAATATATTTAAATAATTAAAATGTAATAATGCATTTAAAATATACTGATACAAAGATCTAAAATACCGATGCAACATATTATTGATATATTTAATTATTAATATATGATTGTTTTGGCACAGACCTAGAATGTACAATACTTTCCTAACTTATAATTGGAGTGAAGAGCCTAATATTTCACAATATCTTAAGATCATGAGTAAACCTTAACTTCACATAATTCTGCACTTCTTCGTTACCTGAAATTAAGAAATTCTATGAATGCACACATCACTAAACATAATAAAACATCAATATCTAAAGTGTTGACACAACATTGTGAGAATATTGAAATATGATTTTAATGCCCCAAGTGCTGCTTGACTTATATACCGGAACCCTAGTAACATTGTACACCTCTTTAAAATCATATCATTTTTATTTTGACTGTAGTTATTGTTAAGGAATATAATGGGCTTCTGTGTTTCTATTCAATAACTGCATTATGAACAGCAAGGAACTCCTTGAGACGAGCTGAAAACACATTACAGTAATATTAGTGGGAGATAAATTATATGCTTGGCTCTCTTTGAAGTGCTGCTGGGAATGATGAATTTGTGTGTTGTCTCCCTTTCTGGTACTCATTTATACCCTTAGGCACAGCAGTTTGCGCTGAGTAATTTCACGAGTCTAAATTACAATTTTAAAGGATCATCTGTAAAGTTCTTTGCCCCAGGGACGACGGCGGGCTCTTTGGGAGTTTTCGCTTTTTCTTTTAGTCTCGGTTACAACTTAAGCTGCCTACCAAACTCAAATGATTAATTGGAACAATCCGATGTGATAAAAAGTATATGATGAGAGAACACAGACAAGTCTTTATGTTTATCGTCCAGAGAGGTGGATTTGGCCCGTTCCAAGCGCTATCCCTCCGCATCCTGTGTTTGAGTTATGCGGTGCGTGTCTACTTCAATCAGAATTGAGACGGAGCCATCAATATCTGCTTGTTCACTTCTGTAACACTATAACCCACCAAAGTCCCTCAGCATTACATAAACTACTCCCATGACCTGCGGCTGTCAGATTCTGGCTGCTGTCCTATCAACTCCAAGGTCATCTGTGAGTGTGGAAGGGGGAAGAGGAAGTCTTGTTGTGAACCTTTGGGACAGATGAAACGCAATCTGAGCCGAGTATGTCCTTCTACTTCCCAAACCCCACCTTTTGACTTCAGCTCTACCTCACCTTCTTTAAAGCTGATGATTTTCTGAGCTCACGCAATAACTCTCATCCAAAAGCTAGTTTGTATTGTCTATATACTGTAACAAATCTAAACTAAATAGAACAGCCTTACTCTGCACGCCACTCAACACACAGTTAAATCCAACAGAATTGTACTCTAATCAGCCTAAAAAGTACATAGTACACACAGATATTAGGTAAAACATTGTAAATATACTGTATATAAACAATACAATTATTTAATTAGATTTAACTGCTTTCTTTAATAATGCCCAGTAATGAGTGAAATCTGTCTGTCCAGTATCTCAAATTAATACTTTTATGAAGATTGTTGCAATGCATTCTGGGATTGACTTTATGAAGTAAAGAAAACTTTGTCCAAAATGTAAAGTTTTTGGACACGTAATTGCTTATTAATTGCAATTAAATGAAAATGTGTTATGTTTTAAATTGATAATAAATGCAGTTAGCTTTACAGTGCTTTTTAACAATTAAGTATGTCTTTATATGTACTTTCATAATCATTTCTATTGTCCTTGAAATATGGTTAAATGTACTGCTGAACAAGCATTCATGGTAAACTAAAATATAAGTAATTTCTGTAGAAACGTGTATGTATTGTATTTAAATATATTTGCAATTACACATTTGTACTTTACATACACTTAAGTATGTTAGTGAACACATCATAATAAGTGTATTTTTTAAAACTCAACAAAATATTAAAACAATGATTTAAAATGTACTTTAAAGTAAAACTTGTAATTTAATTTTTAATTATTACAAAGTGCAAAATACAGTTACTTAAGTGTGTTAAGAAACAGAACAATATTTTTTCATATATACTTTTAAGATTTGATGTGCACTGCATTTAGTATAATTAATCACATGTATTTATTTTTCACAAGTTTCAGACAAGACCAAAGCAAACTAAATATGTATCATTTTTGTATCAAGTTTGTATAGAAAAGCACAAAGATCAGAGGCTTTGAGAAAACAGGAGGATTGGCGAGAGACATGAATTCCAGGCATTCAGTATTTTTAGTATTTGTCTGTGTATCTTTCTTGTTAAGTGTAACCTAGATTAAAGAAATACTTCATTCTTATCTCATAAACCTAACCGTGATTTGCCCTTATGTCAAAAATACTAAATACTGCTGGCTAAAGTGGTTTAGCTGGCCTCCCAGCGCAGTCTAGTAAGTCGTTCAGCCAGTTTCTCAGCCTGAATAGCTAACAAGTATCCAAAACCCCTGTAAAACCATCAAAACAGA